TAAAATAAAATAAAATAAAATAAAATAAAATAAAATAAAATAAAATAAGGAAAACAAAAGGCATAGAAAAAGAACAACTGCTGTAGTATAAAAGACTAAAGAGGCAAAACAACAAAATGCACTGTGTGAACTTTGATCCAGATGCAAACAAAGCAGAAGTAGAAAAGACACTTTTTTTTTTTGAGAGGGAGTCTTGCCCTGTCGCCAAGGCTGGGGTGCAATGGTGCGATCTCAGCTCACTGCAACCTCGACATCCTGGGTTGAAGAGTATATCCTGTCTCAGCCTCCCGAGTAGCTGGGATTGCAGGCACACACCACCATGCTTGACTAATTTTTTTGCATATTTTTAGTAGAGATAGGGTTTCACCAGGTTGGCCAGGCTGGTCTCCAACTCTTGACCGCAGGTGATCCACCAGCCTTGGCCTCTCAAAGTGCTGGGATTACAGGTGTCAGCCACCACACCCAGCCAGGATACATTTGATACAACTGGGGGAATTAGAATAGGGACTAGGTGCTAGATATTAAAGAATTAGTATTAATTTTGGAGATGTTAATAATGGCATGGAGATATATATATATATATAAAAGGCCTTATCAGTTGGAAATGAACACTAAAGGATGTATGAATAAAAGGCATCATGTCTGGGATGGGCAAAATGCTAATAACTGTTGAGGCTTGGTGATGGGTACGTGAGGGTTCATTATGTTGTCTTTTCCGTCTTTGTATTTGTTTCAGATTTTCCACTAAAAAAGTTAAAAAAAATAAATGCACTACTTTGAGAAAAAACATTCTAAAATCTATAGCCTGGAAAAGCTAACTGCAAATAGAGTTAATTGCCAAAGGTAACAGCTAAAACAATGATATAAAATATAGAGGGACAGTCGACTAGGGTATTTAGTCGGGAAAGACTGACGAATGTGTAAGTCTTTACTATCAAGTACATGCAGGAGAAGCTTCAAAACGAACAGACTCCAAATAAATTCTAAAATGAGTAATTTGTAGATTCCATATGGTTAATATTTTACATGAAAATCAGGGTGTAAAAACTATAGTCAGCCCTCTGTATCTACAGTTTCAACCCACCTTGAACCAAAAATATTAAAAAGTAATAACGCAGGCCGGGCACGGTGACTCACGCCTGTAATCCTAGAACTTTGGAGGCCGAGGCGGGTGGATCACCTGAGGTCGGGAGTTCAAGACCAGCCTGACCAACATGAAGAAACCCTGTCTCTACTAAAAATACAAAATTAGCCAAGCGTGGTGGTGCATGCCTGTAATCCCAGCTACTCAGGAGGCTAAGGCAGGAGAATCACTTGAACCCAGGAGGTGGAGGTTGCGGTGAGCTGAGATCATGCCATTGCACTCCAGGCCAGGCAACAAAAGTGAAACTCCATCTCAAAAAAATAAATAAATAAGTAAATAAAAAAATAAAAATAGTAATGCAACAGTAAAAAAAAAAAAAAAAATACAAATAAAAAACAATACAATCTAACTATATAGCATTTACATGCTAGTAGACATTAGAAGTAATCTAGGAGTCATTTAAAGTAGACAGGGGGGCCGGGTGCGGTGACTCACGCCTGTAATCCCAGCACTTTGGGAGGCCAAGGCAAGCGGATCACCTGAGATCAGAAGTTCGAGACCAGCCTGACCAACATGGCGAAACCCCATCTCTACTAAAAATACAAAAATTGGCCAGGCGTGATGGCGCATGCTTGTAACCCCAGCTACTCGGGAGGCTGAGGCAGGAGAATCACTTGAATCCGGGAGACGGAGGTTGCAGGGAGCCAAGATCATACCACTGCACTCCAGCCTAGGCAACAGGGTAAGACTCTGTCTCACAAAAGAAAGCTCCCCAGTAAGTGTAAGGAGACCATAAGAGAGGAAGTGGCTGACAGTGTCAATAGAGCAGAGCAGAGCACCACAAGGTATGACTTCAAGCATCCGTCTTTAGAGACATTTCACAGAGACAGTATCGAGGCTATACACTGAATAATCTTTACCTTTTGTGTTCTGGAAAATATGCCGCCACAGAGGTCCCATTTTGAAGTGGCTGCCAACATCCCAGACTGTGAAGGTGATATTTTTATATTCTACCGTCTCCATATGGAAACCTAAATGAAATAGGGGGAAAATGTTTAATTATGATTCGTGCTGGTTGAACAATTCAAAATAATTTCAACATGTGGACAGTACTTTTAATTTACAAAGCAGCCTGCTAGTCAAAGATCTATAGCCTTCAAAGAGAATGTGCTGGCCCCCTCTCTCATTCATCAGGACAGGTGTCTCAAACCTCCTCTACTGTCCAGTCTCCAGCCATGCACCTGCCCTTCCTCTCAGCAGAAGACTATCACAGTGTACTTCAGAGCAGAGAAGCCACTGATGGGACTGACTTCCACTTCCACCATACAGTGTAAAAGCCAGTCTACATTTTTACCCACGCTTTTCTTCCCCCCTCTTGGAACAACAGGAGAGGGTAACTCTCTTTCACCAACTCCCTCCCTCTATGAGCCAGATCCACTCCACCCAGACTGTCTGGAACTTTTTACTATTCCTATTCTCTCCCATATCTGAATATCTCCAATCTGTTCACCTCCGCATGCTTAAGTCTTTTACATCTTTAAAAGCAACAGAACAAACCTTTCCTTGACCCCCACATCTTCATCGGCACCCTCTTTCTTCCTTCCTTCACCCTCTTCCTTCCTTCACATCTTCACCCTCTATTTGCTCTTTTTTTTTTTTTTTTTTTTTTTTTTTAAAGAGACAGGGCCTTGCTGTGTTGGCCAGGCTGGAGCACAGAGGTAGAATCATAGCTCACTGCAGCCTCAAACTCCTGTGCTCAAGGGATCCTCCTGCCTCAGCCTCCCAAGTAGCTAGAACTATAAGCATGAGCCACCATACCTAGCTAAATATAAAAATTTTTTTGTAGAGACGGGTCTCACTATGTTGCTCAGACTGGCCTCAAATTCCTCAGGTCAAGCAATCTGCCCATCTTAGCCTCCCAAAGTGCTGGGATTACGGGTGTGAGCCACCATGCCTGGTCTATTTGCTCTTTTAAAGTCAAATGTCTCAAAGAAGTGTGGCTATATTCACTGAGCTTTCTTTGGTCCTCTCACGCAACAGCACCTTATCTCTGGTCCACCATGTTGGGTAGCTGGTTTTCACTAAGGTCAGCAAGGACCACCAGGTCAATAAATCCAACACATGCCTTTTCAGCTCTTCCATAAGCTGATCTTCTATCTGACACTACTGCTCACTCCCTCCTTGACACTCTTCCCCAGCTTCCCTTTTCCTTCTATCTCGATGGCCGTACCGTCTCAGTCTCCTTAGTGAGCTCAGCCACGTTTAACTGATCCTGCAACGATGGAGTCCCCCGGCTCTCACTGGCCCCATCAATTCTCCTCTTTCTGCACCCCTCCCTACGCAATCTCACTCACTGCCATGACTTCATTCCTATCTCTGTACTACCTCTGAGATTTATATCTTCCAATCTAGCTCTGAGATTTATATCCTCTCTCCTGAGCTTCAGGCTCATAATCTAACAGCTTTGGCAAATATCTTCAAGGCCCCAAAACAAGGTATCAGTCAAAAATGGAATTTAAGGTCCCTACCCCCCACCTCCTCCTCTGCTAGTTATCCCCTCATTGACTTCATTCCACAAGCTGATAGCCTAAGAGGAGCCCTGGAAACATCCGATGCTCTCACTCCTAGAACCCTACTACCATATCTTATCAATTCAACCTCTTAAACAGCTAATAGTCACCCTAACCCAACAGACCATCATTTCTAGCCTTAATTCTTGAAACCACATAACTAATTTCACCTCAGCCACTCTCCCTGTCTCCATCCAGTCACCATCCTCTAATCAAAGCAATCGCTTAAAAACACGTAGTGTGGTCACGTCATTTCTCTACACATTTATGTTTGATTGGAATATTTTCAAACTTACAAAAGAAAGAATAATCTCCCCAAAAAAATAAAATTAAAAATTGAAAAAAGAAAGAATAGGCCGAGCACAGTGGCTCACACCTGTAACCCCAGCACTTTGGGAGGCTGAGGCGGGCAGATTGCTTTGAGCTCAGGAGTTCGAGACCAGCCTGGGCAACATGGCAAAACCCTGTCTCTACAGAAAAAACACAAAAATTAGCCAGGCATTGGTGGCATATGCCTGTAGTCCCAGCTACTTGGGAGGCTGAGACAGGAGAATTGCTTGAGCTTGGGAAGCAGATGTTGCAGTGAGCTGAGATCACGCCACTGCACTTCAGCCTGGATGACAGAATAAGATCCAAAAAAGAAAAGAAAGAGAGAGAAAGGGAGGGAGGGAGGGAAGGGGGGGGAGGGAGGGAGGGAGGGAGGGAGGGAGGGAGGGAGGGAGGGGAGGGAGGGGAGGGAAGGAAAGGAAAGAAGAGAAAGAAGGGAAGGAAGGGAAGGGAAGGAAAGGAAAGAAGGGAAAGAAGGGAAGGAAGGGAAGGAAGGGAAGGGAAGGAAAGGAAAGAAGGGAAGAAAGGGAAGGAAGGGAAGGGAAGGGAAGGATAGGAAAGAAGGGAAGAAAGGGAAGACAGGGAAGGAAGGGAAGGGAAGGAAGGGAAAGAAGGGGAGGGAAGGAAGGAAAAAAAAGAAGGAAAGATGTCCCTTTGGCAGCTTCCCACACCCAAATCCCAAACATGACTGTCAAGACCCACAGTCAGCTGGGCCTGCTCACCTTCCAAACCTCAATTCTAGTCATGCCTTATTTTAGTGAGAGACACTCATTACATTGCAACAATCTAAATTCTTGCTAAATAAATAAATACAATGCCATTCCAATCCTATAGCGATGGTAGGGGCAGGGGCAAGAAACTTAGCAAAATTATCTAAAATTTAACCTGGAGAAATAAACAAGTAAGCACAACCAGGAAATCTCTGAAAATGAATAATGAATTATTTTTAAAGATATGCCAAGCCCTAGTAACACTTGAAGTAACAGAGTTCATATATAAATGTAACTCTGTAGTTGTCCAGAAAAAGGTAGTTGTCCAGAAAAAGACACACATACCAGTGAGAATTTAGTATGTGACAAAGAAGGCATTTCAAATCAGCATGGAAAAATTATTCAATAAATGACATTGAACAACTGTCTACCCCAGCACTGTCCAATACAGTCACTAACCATTTGTGACTATTTGTTTATTCATTTTTGTTTTGTTTTGTTTTGTTTTTGAGACAGAGTCTCACTCTTGTTGCCCAGGCTGGAGTACATGGCGCGATCTTGGCTCACTGTAACCTCCGTCTCCCGGATTCAAGCGATTCTCCTGCCTCAGCCTCCCAAGTAGCTGGGATTACAGGCAGCTGTCACCACACCCCCTTTTTTTTTTTTTTGTATTTTCTGTAGAGACGGGGTTTCACCATGTTGACCAAGCTGGTCTCGAACTCCTGACCTCAAGTGATCCACCGGCCTCGGCCTCCCAAAGTGCTGAGATTACAGGCGTGAGCCACCACGCCCGGCCTATTTATTTAGTTTTTGAGACAGAGTCTTGCTCTGTAACCTAGGTTGAAGCGCAATGGTGCAATCTCAGCTCACTGCAACCTTCGCCTCCCGGGCTCAAGTGATTCTCCTGCCTTAGCCTCCCGAGTAGCTGGGATTACAGAAGCATGCCACTACACCTGACTAATTTTTGTACTTTTAGTAGATATGGGATTTCACCATGTTGGTCAGGCTGGTCTCGAACTCCTGATCTCAAGTGACCTACCCACCTCAGCCTCCCGAAGTGCTGGGATTATAGGCATGAGCCACTGCGCCCAGCAATGTGGCTATTTAAACTTAAAGTGAAAATCAAAAATCAATCAACAAATAAAAATAGATAAAAAATAAACAATGTTAAATACAATTAAAAGTTCAGTTCCTGGCTGGGCACAGTGGCTCATGCCTGTAATTCCAACAGTTTGGGGGGCCAAGGTGGGCAGATCACCTGAGGTCAGGAGTTTGAGACCAGCCTGGCTAACAGAGTAAAACCCCGTCTCCACTAATAATACAAAAATTAGCTGGGCATGGTGGCACACGCCTGTAATCCCAGCTTCTCAGGAGGCTGAGGCAGGAGAATGACTTGAACTCAGGAGGCGGAGGTTGCAGTGAGCCGAGATGGCGCCATTGCACTCCAGTCTGGATGACAGAGCGAGATTCCATCTCAAAAAAAAAAAAAGTTCAGTTCCTCAGTTGCATTAGCCACATTTCAAGCACTCAACAGTCACATAGCTATTGGCTACCACTCCAAACAGCACAGACAGAACATTTCAATCACTGCAGAAAGTGCCTCCCGGACAGCACTGGCTTACCCATTTGAAAAATTTAACCAAATTCCTACCTTACTCACAACCATCTCATAACTCGAACATTCTCATCGGTTTCCCACTCCTCAATCGATGCAATCTCTGCAGTTACTGTCCAAGTTGAAAGGTGATCATTTGGAGGCCAGGTGCGGTGGCTCACGCCTGTAATCCCAGCACTTAGCAGGGCAGATCATTTGAGGTCAGGAGTTCCAGACCAGCCTGGCCAACATGGTGAAAACCTGTCTCTGCTACAAATACAAAAATTAGCCTTGCGTGGTGGCGAACGTCTGTATTTCCAGCTTACTAGGGAGGCTGAGGCATGAGAATTGCTTGAACCCAGGAGGCGGAGGTTGTAGTGAGCCGAGATCGCGCCACGGTACTCCAGCCTGGATGACAGAGCGAGACTCCATCTCAAAAAAAAAAAAAGTTGATCATTTGAGTCCTGTGCCTAATTCAGTGTTCAGAATAGTAGTCATGTTCACATGCCAGCCTGTGGGGTGTATCCTCAGTCAGAAGTTTGGATCTAAAGGCAGTTCACAAGGCAAAGATTCAGTTCTGTCAAAACTCACTTTGTAAATCTCTTAACGAGCCCATAAAACACAGTGCTGGTTCACAGTAAGAGCAATACAGCCAGCTTGTCTATTTCTCTAGTTGGACATCATCTCAAGCAGTTGGCTTGAGCCAGAGTGAAGAAAAGAAATCACACTCCGTCTCTAAGCACCAGGAGTGTACTTGGTGTAGAGAGATAAGATGCTGCTGCTAAGGAAGGCCAGCTGGAACAGAGGCTGACTGAAGAGGCACCAGCAGATTCCCAGCTCCCACCTCAGCCTTCTGCTGGGACACTAGCTTCGAGGAATGGGGGGCAGAACTACCCTCCCTGTTTGGCCCATTATCTTTTTCTTTTTTGCCAAGCAGATAGGGTTAATTTTGCTTAGTCTACCTGTGTTCACATGTCACCTTTGTGAACCTAAGAATGTGCAAGCCACTAGAAAAGGACAGAGAACCTGGTCAGGCACGGTGGCTCATGCCATAATCCCAGCACTTTGGGAGACCATGGCAGGAGGATCGCTTGAGCCCAGGGGTTCGAGACCAGCCTAGGCAACATGGCAAGACCCCATCTCTACCAAAAATTCAAAAATTAGCTGGGCATGCTGGTGCATGCCTGTAGTTCCAGCTACTCAGGAGGGAGGTGGAAGGATCACTTGAGCCCAGGAAGTTGAGACCGTAGTAAGCAGAGAGGCGCCACTGCACTCTAGTCTGGGTGACAGAGTCAAAAAAAAGAAAAGGATATATAATGTAACCTGGTTTTTGGCCTCTAAAAATGTATGCTCTTGGAGTAGACAAGATTTTTAAAAAGGATTATTCAATAACAGAAGAAGCATGTAAAAATAAAACATATGTCTCTGGTGAAACAGAACCTAACAGCAAAAATATATATAACATACTAAATTGTAAACTGGAATTGCCGCAGGTCTTTCATTAACTTACCTACTGTAGGGATGGTAGGCACAGTCTCCGCCAGCTTCAATTTATACAAGATGGTGGTTTTTCCAGCTGTATCCAAACCCAATATAAGAATCCGCATCTCTTTTTTCCCAAGTAGACTCTTAACGAGCTTTTCAAAAATGTTTCCCATTGTAATTGAATTCTGTAACATGACAAGAAAAGCAAGTCAAATAATTGTTCTTTGCAGAGATATAGAAGCAACATGCATAAAATACAAGTGTCAATTAGAAATGGCTTCCAGGAAAAATTAAACAATTTTAGGTACACTTTGGCCAATGAGTAGTGAGTCTTACCTTCAAAGGGAAACTCAACTAAACCTTTCAATGCCTCACCAGAAAATTATATTTTCCACTGCAGCATCCAAGTGGGATATGCAACACAACCTCAGCACTGCTACAGTGGCAGCCTTTAGTCAATTTAGTACAGAAGTACAGGACCAGGCGCGGTAGCTCACGCCTGTAATCCCAGCACTTTGGGAGGCCAAAAGGCGGGCGGATCACCTGAGGTCAGGGGTTCAAGACCAGCTTGGCCAACATGGTGAAACCCTATCTCTACTGAAAACACAAAAATTAGCCAGGCCTGGTGGTGCACACCTGTAGTACCAGCTACTCAGGAGGCTAAGGCATAAGAATCGCTTGAACCTGGGGAGGCAGACGTTGCACTGAGCCAGGACCACGCCACTGCACTCTAATCTGGGTGACAGAGCAAGACCATCTCAAAAAATTAATTAATTAATTAATTAAATTTTTTTAAAAAAACAGAAGTACAGAAGCAATGATACAACAAATACAACTATACCTCATTCTAAACTGTACTGAAATGAGAATCTGTGAAGCAGAGAAGCTGTTTATTTTATGCAATATAAAACAAAGTCTTTAAGGCAGGTTAAACAACTATATCCCTTGGAAACGTAGTAGTTCCCTATGGCTAGCAGACAGCCTAGTAAATAACCTAAGACATTTCAGAGGCAAAGAAATTCAGCTTGGGAAGCTTCGCTGCCAAGAGAGAGAACTTGGCAGAGTTGAGGAGGCACCACAGCATCCAGTTTTCATTTGAGTTTTTTGTTTTAAGACAGGGTCTCACTCTGTCACCCAGGCTGGAGTGCAGCAGCACAATCACGACTCACTGCAACCTCAACCTCCCCATCTCAAGCAATCCTCCCATCTCACTCTCCAGAGCAGCTGCGACTACAGGCATTCGCCACCGCGCCCAGCTAATTTTTGTATTTTTTGTGAAAATTAGGTCTCACTATATTTCCCAAGCTAATCTCGAACCCCTGGGTTCAAGAAGTGATTCTCCCGCCTTAGCCTCCCAAAGTCCTGGGATTACAGGCGTGAGCTACCAGGCCCAGCCAGTATCCAGTGTTCTATTGCTGTAACTATCACCTTCCTCTCAACCAGTTCTTAGAACTTTTTATTTAAGTATAGTTTACATACAGATATAAACATACATAACTGTAAAGTTCAATAAATTTTCATGAACCAAACACATCTATGTAACCAAATCAAGAAAAGATGATTTATCAGGCTGGGCGCAGTGGCTCACACCTGTAATCCCAGCACTTTGGGATACCAAGGTGGGCGGATCACCTGAGGTCAAGAGTTCAAGACCAGCCTGGCCAACATGGCAAAACCCTGTCTCTACTAAAAACACAAAAATTAGCCAGGCATGGTGGTGCACAGCTGCAGTCCCAGGTACTCAGGCAGCTAAGGCACAATAATCACTTGAACCTGGGAGGTGGAGGTTGAAGTGAACTGAGATTGGGACACTGCACTCCAGCCCAGGGCAACAGAGCGAGACTCCATCTCAAAAAAAAAAAAAAGATGATTATTAGATCAATTCTCCTTGTGTCTCCTCCCAGTCATTACTCCATAAAAGGTAATCACTATATTGACTTCTAACAGCATAAATGTTCAATATTTTATTTTTCAGTAGAGATCATGGTAGCTTACATAAAGTACATCAATAGCAAAGTTAGACTAACTTTACAAAAATGTACAGTCTCTTTGAGATCAGCCTACTTGAAATGTGAGCTTGACATTCTAAGTAAAGACTTAAAAGCAGTGCTGGGTCTACACCTCTAACCAAGCTCTTGGAAGTCTATAAAGATCTTCAGACCAGGTAGGGTGGCTTACCGCTGCAATTCCAGCACTTTGGGAGGCCAAAGCAATAGGATCACTTTATTTTTTGCTTACTAAGATAACAGAAAACACGGGAGGATTGCTTTAGGCCAGGAGTACGAGACCAGTCTGGGCAACACAGCGAGACCCTGCCTCTATTTTTAAAAATAATAATAATTTTAAAAACCCTATATCCTTGTTCCAGAGACTGTGATTTATTTTCCTTTTAAATTGCTAACCAAAGAAAGCTTTACTCCTGGGCAGGGGAGGGGGAAGACACAAAGACGATAGGCAATCAACCATTCATTTGAACTCTGGTGACCACAGAGGGGAGGTAACCAAATTCCACAGGTCTCACCGCTGAAATTCAACAGTGGCCAGCAGTAGCTTAGTATCATGGATTATGCCCAAGTACACAACATTCCTTTCTAGGATGAGAGAAAGCGAGCCCAGAATTTTTCCTGTTCACAAATATGGAACATGCTGGGGAGGGAAGGTATTTCCCGCTCAGATGCCCCTTGAGGCAGATAGTTCCACAGATTCCCCCTGCCAACCGCACAGACACACCCCCTTGACCCCCCTCTCCCTTCTCTTTCCTCTTCTTGCTACTCATGTGCCCCAGATCCCCGCGGTCCTGACACCCCTGCGCCGCTGAAGACCCTCTGTGGTACGATGGCTCCGATTACAGGGCCTTTTTGGCACGCTCACTCTCCCGGCCCCAAGCGCCAAAAGTGCATTAGGGAGAAACGTCGGCACGACGTCAAGGACACGAACGAGCGCGGTGGCCCAGGTGAGCGTGCGTGGCAGCCAGGCACGCCCGGCTCCCGGGCAAGAACGCCGAATGCCTTTTTTACCTGGGCCGCCAGGCCGCTCCTTCTCAACTTGTGCGCCCCTGGAAGAGCAGAGAGAGGGCCTTGCGTGGAACCTACGAAGCCTCCTTCGGTTCCTCGCTGCTCCGGCCGTCGAGAGGGCAAAGAAGGAACAGCGGAGCCCAATACCTTTCCGCAAGCCACCGCCGCCCTCCAGTTTCTGGCCCGCAGACGAAGTGGAGATCCAGCCAGGTCTTGAGTGCTGCCGCCCCAGGTGAGCCGGAGAGTCACCTGTTGCCACTCAAGGCACCGCTACCTACATCACCGCCGACTCCGCGGCCCTTAGGATTTCGGCTCAGTTCAGCTAAACCACAACCGGCGTGGAGACAGGAACAGCAACCAACCAATCACCCACCGCCTCCTGGAGCTTTTGCACCAGTGAGCTAGAAGTTTTATGAGTGACGACACATCTGACCAATGCAAAGGATAGTAAAGGGCCAGGAGGGAGGGAGCGCCGTAGGCGACGCCACGAAGCTCTGGCAATACCCTGTTCATCTTCAAATGACAGCTCAGCGAGTTCCGGCGAGACACGCCCACGTCCTCCATGCCACGTGCGACCAATCAGAAAAGCGAAAGGATTGTCTATTTGCACAGCCAATCGGCTGGGAAAATCGCTGAGGTTTGAGCTAATCCCGGAGCATTCACACCAACCGGGAGCGGACATGTGGGCAGGGCCAGGTTAATAGTGCCATGGAAGGAAATTTACCGCAGTTGAGTTAAACGTAGACATTAGTTTGGGGCGGTGTTCCGCGTAGGAAATAGCAGACACTGACACTGAAATTAGACATAAGGAAGGTTTCCTATTCCGCCTGAGGCTAGACTGCCCTCCCACCTCTAAACAGATTTTCAACAGTTGGGGAAAACACTGGCCACCCGCACCTCGTTAAGACGTCGCAGAACCAGTCCTGGTTTCTAAGCAATGCTTTCCATAATCAGTTCCCTAAATGCCCACCTTGTTAGCTAAAAAGGTTACAAACGCCTGTAAATGGTACATAACTGAAATCATCAGAATTACAAATATCTATTAAACATATACTATGTGCCAGAACCTATATCAAGAACTTTAGCCGGCGCGGCACGGTGGCTCCCTCCTGGAAGGCCAAGGCTTTGAGCTAGGAGTTCGAGACTAGCCTGAGCAACATGACAAAACCCCACCTCTACAAAAAAAAATTTTTTGGGAGGCTGAGGCAGGAGGATCACTTGAACCCGGGAGGTCAAAGCTGCAGAGAGCCGTGATCACACCACTGCACTCCAGCCTGGGCGACAAAGTGAGACCCTGTCTCAAACAAACAAACAAACAAAGTTAGAAGGTACTGCTAGAATTGACTAAATAAATAAGAAAAAGAATTTTACCTGCAGGACCGTCACGTCCAGTGAATTAGAAACTATTTTCCCTGCTGTTTTACAGAAAAATATCAAGTAGCCTGGGTCTGTCCCACTCCCACACCTTAATCTTTTTTTTTTTTTTTTTTTTTTGAGACGGGGTCTCTGTCGCCCAGGCTGGAGTGCAGTGGCACGATCTCAGCTCACTGCAACCTCCGCTCACTGCAATCTCCGCCTCCCTGGTTCAAGCAATTCTCCTGCCTCAGCCTCTCAAGTAGCTGGGATTACAGGCACGCACCACTGCGCCCAGCTAATTTTTGTATTTTTAGTAGAGACGGGGTTTCACCATGTTGGCTAGGCTGGTCTTGAACTCCTGAACTCAAGTGATCCACCCACCTCGGCCTCCCAAAGTGCTGGGATTACAGGCATGAACCACCGCGCCCAGCCACCTTAATCTTTTTAAGCAAATACAGAATTGAAACTGCCCTCACAGGATTAAGGAGAGTTACAAGCCAGGCTTTAAGACAGCATTATATATAGTTAGCTATTATCTAGGGTGCACAAGTGTACTTTGACCCACTTCCCTGCAGCTGCTAACTCACTGAACATCACCCAGCATGCTAGACCACCTGCTACCTGTTTCCCCACGGTTCTTACCATGAGTAAGAATTTCTGACGCTAGACTCATAAGATCTTTCTGCTCAAGAACTGTTTGTTTTTCAGATCCTGAATTCTGACATACCCCACCAAGGAACCCACTCAGCACAAGAATGAGGTTTCTTGGTCTCCCTGTCTCATGACTTCACCCTTCACTTCTTGACCAATCATCGATCCCCACACTACAGCCCCTGTCCAGAGGACTTAAAAACCCTGTCCCCCAAACCTCTCAGGGAGGTGGATTTGAGGCTTCTTCCCATCTCCTCGTTCAGATCCCCTGTGATTGTTAAACTCTTTCTTTGCTGCAGCCAGGTGTCTCTGTATGCTGACTCACTGTGCATTGGGCAAACAAAACTATTATAATTACAGTACTGTACTTACTCTTCTAATTACAGTGCTTGTATGTATGAGGGTTAATATAAATACATATGACTCCTTAAAAATTAAAGTATCTTTTTTCTGACTATAAAAATTATACATAGCCAGGTGTGGTGGCTCACACATGTAATCCTAGCACTTTGGGAGGCCAAGGCGGGTGGATCACCTGAGGTCGGGAGTTTGAGATCAGTCTTACAAACATGGAGATCCCCATCTCTACTAAAAATACAGATTTAGCCGGACGTGGTGGCACATGGCTGTAATCCCAGCTACTCGGGAGACTGAGACAGGAGAATCGCTTGAACCTGGGAAATGGAGGTTGTGGTGAGCCAAGATCTCACCATTGCACTCCAGCCTGGGTAACAAGAGTGAAATTTGGTCTCAAAAAAAAAAAAAAAAAATTATACATAGTCATTTGTTAAAGTACATGGGAAAAAAGACACTCCCCTCACCAGAGAGAGAGAGGGAGATAAGAAAACGAGTGGGGGGAGGAAAAGGAGGAAAAACAAATAATCACCCATCATCCTACCATCCAAATATAATCACTGTTACCATTTTGGTTTATTTTTATTATTATTTGAGACAGGGTCTCGCTCTGTTACCCAAGCTGCAGTATAGTAGTATGATCTTGGCTCACTCCAACCTCTGCTTCCCCAGGCTCAAGCAATCCTCCCACCTCAGCATCCCCAATAGCTAGGACTACAGGCATGCACCACCATGCCTGGCTAATTTTTGTATTTTTTGTAGACAGGGTTTCACCACGTTGCCCAGTCTGATATTGAACTCCCGGGCTCAAGCAATCCTCCAACCTCAGCCTCCCAAGGTGCTAGGATTACAGCTTGAGCCACCTTGTCTGGCCAGCTCTTTCAAACAGTGGATTTTTATAGAGCAACAGGAACTCTCATTCATTGCAAAATGGAACAGCCACTCTTGAAGACAGTTTGCTGTCTCTTACAAAATTAAACATACTCTTACCCAAAGGAGCTGAGTAAAAATTGGGTATAAGTAAAACATGTCCACACAAAAATCTGCACATGGATGTTTATAGCAGCTTATTCATAATTACCAAAACTGGAAAGGAACCAAGAGGTCCTTCAATGGGTGAATGGATAAATAAACTATGGTACATCCAGACAGTGGAATATTATGCAGCACTATAAAGAAATGAGCTGGCCGGGTGCAGTGTCTCACACCTGTAATCCCAGTACTTTGGGAGGCCGAGGCGGGCAGATCACCTGAGGTCATGAGTTCAAGATCAGCCTGGCCAACATGGTGAAACCCCGTAAAAATACAAAAATTAGCTGGGCATGGTGGCAGGTGCCTGTAATTCCAGCTACTCGGGAGGCTGAGGCTGGAGAATCGCTTGAACCCAGGAGGTGGAGGTAGCAGTGAGCAGAGATTGTGCCATTGCACTTCAGCCTGGGTGACCAGAGAGAAACTCTGTCTCAAAAAAAAAAAAAAAAGGAGTTATTTTTTGAAGGTGAGGTTTTTTGTTTGCTAATTTGGTGACCCCCCCCCCCCCCCCCCCCCAAAAAAAAACCAAAACTCTCGGCTGAGCATGATGCCGGCTCACACCTGTAATTCCAGCACTTTGAGAGGCCAAGGTGAGAGGATCGCTTGAGTTCAGGAATTTCAGATAAACCTGGGAAACATGGTAAAACCCTGTCCACCTGTAGTCTCAGCTACTTGGGAGGCTGAGGTGGGAGAGTCATTTAAGCCCAGGAGGTTGAGGCTGCAGTGAGCCGTGATTGTGCCACTGCACTCCAGCCTGGGTGACAGAGTGAGACACTGTCTCAAAAAAAAAAAAGAAGACTGGGCACTGTGGCTCACGCCTGTAATCCCAGCACTCTGGGAGGCCGAGGCAGGTGGATCACGAGATTAGGAGGTCTAGATCATCATGGTCAACATGGTGAAACCCTGTCTCTACTAAAAATACAAAAATTAGCTGGGCATGGTGGTGCACTCCTGTAATCCCAGCTACTTGGGAGGTTGAGGCAGGAGAATTGCTTGAACCCGGAATGCGGAGGTTGCAGTGAGCCGAGATCGAGCCACTGCACTCCAGCCTGGGTGACGGAGTGAGACTCTGTCTCAAAAAAAAACAAAAAAAACCTCATGTTAGTTTAATTTTCATTTCTTTGATGACTTGTTATTTTTCCAAATATTCACTAGTATTTTTATTTCATCTATTAGAAATGATATATTCATGTCCTACTGACTTCCAAGGCAAAGACAGAAAGTTGTTTGGCCAGCAACTATGAAAGTTGTTGTTTGAATGGAGTCATCATAACCTACAAAAAAGGTGAAATAACAAAGGTAAGATTTTTACTTAGCATTGTTTGTTCCTACAGAAGGAATGCTGGAGCTGATAATTATGAGAATTTATCCTTCCATCCCTTATAACCTAAGAATATTCATTATTTCCCAAGATCTGCACTGAGCCTGTAAACCAAAATGTATCTGAGACAGGTCTCAATCAATTTATAAGTTTATTTTGCCAAAATTAAGGATGCTCACCTGGGAGATAGGCCTGTGCCTTTTTCCAAAGGTGATTTTGAGGGATTTGTTTTGTTTGTTTGTTTGTTTGTCTGTTTTTGAGACAGAGTCTCACTCTGTTGCCCAGGGTGGAGTGCAGTGGTACAATCTTGGCTCACTGCAACCTCCGCCTCCCAGATTCAAGCAATTCTCATGCCTCAGGTTCCCAAGTAGCTCGGATTAGCAGGCATGTGCCACCACTCCTGGTTAATTTTCATATTTTTAGTAGAGACAGGGTTTCACCATGTTAGCCAGGTTGGTCTCCAACTCCTGACCTCAGGTGATCCGCCTACCTCAGCCTCCCAAAGTGCTGGGATTACAGGTGTGAACCACCGTGCCCAGCCAGAAGGATTTAATATTTTATTTATTTATTTATTTATTTATTTATTTATTTATTTATTTATTTGAGATGGAATCTTGCCCTATCACCCAGGCTGGAGTACAATGGCACAATCTTGGCTTACTACAACCTCCGCCTCCTGGGTTCAAGTCATTCTCCTGGCTCAGCCGCACCCGTAGCTGGGATTACAGGTGCACACCACCATGCCCAGCTAATTTTTGTTGTTTTTAGCAGAGACGAGGTTTCACCATGTTGGCCAGGCTGGTCTTGAATTCCTGACCTTGTGATCCGCCTGCCTCAGCCTCCCAAAGTGCTGGGGTTACAGGCGTGAGCCACCAAGCCCGGCCAGGATTTAATATTTAAAACGGAAAAGCAGGCTGGACGGCAAAGAAGGAGAATATGCTCACATTACTGAATTCACATGTTGCAAGAGACAAAGAGCAGGTAGGGGAATAGTCAATTATGTATTACTCT